CCACCCCCAAGAAGGAGATCACCGACATCGCCGCCGCCGCCGAGAGCCTCCAGCCCAAGGGCTACACCTTGGCCACCACCCAGGTAACTAAACCTTCCCCCACACCCCCCCCAGCACCCGTGGGTGCTGCGGGGAGGGGGTCGCCCACCGCTGCACCCTTCCCAGGTGAAGACCCCCATTCCCCACCTGCTGCGGGGCACCCTACGGGAGTACCAGCACATCGGACTGGACTGGTTGGTCACCATGTACGAGAAGAAACTCAACGGGATCTTGGCTGACGAGATGGGGTTGGGCAAGACCATCCAAACCATCTCCCTCCTGGCTCACCTCGCCTGCGAGAAGGGTGAGGGGTGCCCCCCGCCCATCCCTGGAGGGTCCCCAGTCTCTGCCGGGGCTTCGGGAGGCGCTCGGCGTTTTGGGTGGGAGCTGCTTGGGTACCGTTGGGTGCTGTGGGGTCTTCGCAGGGTCTGTAGGGCCCACCTAGGTTGTCCTTGGGTACCGCTGGGAGCTGCAGGATCCTTGTAGGGTCTCTAGAAATCATCTAGACCGTCCTTGTGTATCGTTGGGTGCTGCAGAGTCTTTGTAGGGTCTCTAGGGCCCATCTGAGCACCCTTGGGTGCTGTGGGGTCTTTGTAGGGTCTTCAAGGCCCATCTTGGTGCTGCCTGACCACCCTTAAATGCTGTGAGATATTTGAGTGGTCCGTAGGTCCCTACAGGCTCCCCAAGCACCCATGGGTGCTGTGGGCTCCTTTTCAGGTCTTTAGATTTCTACTGATTCTCAACACCTGTGCGTCCTGTAAGCTTTTTATAGGGTCTTTTGGTTCCTGCCAGTTCCCTGAGCACCCATGGGTGCTGTAGGCACCTTACAGGGTCTGTAGGTCCTCATGGGCTCCTCGAGCACCCGTGGGTGCTGTGGGCACCTTACAGGGTCTGTAGGTCCTCATGGGCTCCTCGAGCACCCGTGGGTGCTGTAGGCACCTTACAGGGTCTGTAGGTCCTCATGGGCTCCTCGAGCACCCGTGGGTGCTGTAGGCTCCTTACAGGGTCTGTAGGTCTTCCTGGGCTCCTCGAGCACCCGTGGGTGCTGTAGGCTCCTTATAGGGTTTGTAAGTTCTCATGAAGTTGCCTAAGCACCCATGGGTGCTGTAGGTTCCTTATAGGGTCTGTAGGTCCTCCTGGGCTCCTCGAGCACCCGTGGGTGCTGTAGGCTCCTTACAGGGTCTGTAGGTCCTCCTGGGCTCCTCGAGCACCCGTGGGTGCTGTAGGCTCC